GTGAAGCTTCGGAACTATTGCAGTACTACCGGAAAACGTCAAAACGTCGGCTAGAACTGCCAGCACCCCACAGTTTACTCTTGTAATGCGGTTTTTGTACTCAAGTTTAAAAATTGTTTAAAAATAGTTAGAGGCCGGAACTCTTGCTAAAACATATCAGGAACTATAGAGCACTTCGAGAACTGTAAAATAAAATTATCAAAATAATTTTTTTTTAATGTTGTGGTGCCGTGGTAATTTGGCATTTCATATTTTAAAAAATTCATTTTTTTTATTAATTCGACGGAACTATTGCTATAACCTATCAGGAACTATAGAACTATTGTGGGTGCAAATAGAACTCATGTCAAAACTTGCGGTGCTAAAAAATGAGGTGCCAACTTCACGCACGCGATATTTTAAGAGCAAAAATATTACGACTAGATGCACTAGATCGTCGTGTATGAAATTTTAGTGAGCAAGTACAAGTATGCTTGCGTAACATTCGACTAACAAGTAAATCTACTCAAAAGGTACACTGATTTCTTTCTAATTTCGTACAAATGTAGAAGTACAAAAAATATTTAGGTCATATTTTTTTATTTTTTTTTTATTTTTTTATTTTTTATTTTTACTACGAGTTTCACGAGCAGCTTTTTAATGTTCTTACTCCAACAACAACTCCTATTATCAACAAGTAAAACAAAAATGCATAAGAAAAAAAATTGAATACAAGATGTAGTTAAATAATTTTAATAAAATCGGCATAGAACCATTCTAAATTTCTTTAGCCGAGATTCCAACCAAAATATTTTAAATCTATGCTAAATTAGTAAAAAATGGTTCGAATCTCGGCCAAATTGAAAAATCAGACAATTTTAATTAAAATTTTAACAAAATCGGTGTAGCTGAGACATAAACTATTCTGAATTTCTTTAGCCGAAATTTCAACCGAAATATTTTAAATCTGTGCTAAATTTGTTAAAAATGGTTCGAATCTCGGTCAAATCGAGAAATCCGGCAATTTTTATTAAAATTTTAACAAAATCGGCATAGCTGAGACACAAATTATTCTAAATATTTTTAGCCGAGATTTCAACCGAAATATTTCAAATCTGTGCTAAATTAGTCAAAAATGATCCGAATCTCGGCCAAATCGAGAAATCCGGCAATTTTTATTAAAATTTTAACAAAATCGGCATAGCTGAGACACAAATTATTCTAAATATTTTTAGCCGAGATTTCAACCGAAATATTTCAAATCTGTGCTAAATTAGTCAAAAATGATCCGAATCTCGGCCAAACCGAGAAATTATTTGTATAAATAATTTTTTTCAACTTTTTAAATGTTTTGTTTAAACATTTTATTATTTATACAAATAATTTTATATGTTTGACTTCATATTCTTAATTAGCAAACCAAAAACACCTATATCTTGTATTCAATTTTATTTCTTATGCATTTTTGTTGCATTTGTTGATGATAGAAGTGAGAACATTAAAAAGCAATAAACTGCTCGTGAAACTCAAAGTGAACCAAAATGAAAAAAATATGACTTAAATATATTTTGTACTTCTGCATTTGCACCAAATTAGAAAGAAATCGGAGTGTAACTTTTGGATATGTTTACTTATAAGTCGCTTTATGTGCATTACTCTGAGGAAAAGAAAATGTTGAATTTTTTTCACGTTAGATCGATAATCTCTAATTACCGAGCACATCCTCAGCGAAGTTGGTAACCTGCAAGTGTTTTGTTCTTACGGTGATGTTTGAAGCTTCTCGTATCACACTTATACTGAATTAAGTAATTTACACTAAAATATACACTAAAAAATGGAAGTTATAGAGAAAAATAATCTAATTTATCTATACAAAGTGTCCTAGACTCTTCTCAATTTTGGTGATTTTTGTGGGAATGTTGAAGTAAACATAAAAGTTCCATATCGCTTTTTACGATATTCGCAATAAATCTCGAAATATTAATTAAAGAAAATTAGTGAATGATCACGCACGATATGCTACAAGAGTCTCCATCCTTTCTATGTTCCCACAACAATTGTGGAGGAGAGATCTAAAATACTTTCCCGACCGTATATAATATATATTATTAATAAATTTATATATATATATATACATTCTTGATAATTCTATACTTAGTATCTCGAAGTTTAGGCGAACTTTTCTGCCTCTATACCTGTCAAAGACCAAACATACCTTACGAATATCCGCTCTAGGACGAACCACATACTGGTGAAGTGTAAGTGCGCTTGCGTGGATCAACAAGTCGTTTCGTGGATGGTTTTATGGGAAATAAATATATGCACATATATTGAATATTCTCCGGTATCAAATCAACAAACAATCGCCGGCCGCTTTCTCTGCATGGCTGTTAAAGTACGCGCGTCCCGTTCTCATGGTGCAATTTTGCATCAATGCTATCTTGCTATTGCGACGGATTGACTGATGTGCCACCCTATAACCATGTGTATCTCACGGATGCTTGTTTTATAATGAAGCGTGTGCGCGACTGAGGTGCAAGTGCGCTTGCGTGACCATTTAGAAGACCAAGTCGTTTCGTGAATGTTATTCTATGGGAAATAAACATACGCATATACGATGAATTTCTCTCGGTGTCACATCGATAGCCGGCCTTTTCCCCTTCAAAGTTACGAAAGTGCACGTGTCTCGATCTCACGGAAATATTACGCATCGCCCTACGATTATTTTTCATTATATAATTTACATTAAAATTTATGTTAAATGGAAGGCGGTTATAGAATAATGGTTTAAACAGTTAAAGTAAGGGGATCTTGCAAAAATTTCGTTGACTTTCCACAGTCAAACGCGTCTCGACACTCATAGCGAAATGATCTGCATTGAAACTGAACATTTCTCTATTAATCGAATTCTTCTACTAGTACTTGGTTTATGGCCCTATCAGCGATCAAGACTTGTCCGACTCCAGACTATCATAATTTTTGCCACACTGATGAGTTTTGTAATATTTCAGGTATGTCTATATTGTAATTGCACATGTTATTGTGTAACAGAAATGGCTGCACAGTCACTTGTAGTAAATATCTACTTTGACTTCAAAAACACGCGAACTATAATATGATTGTTTCATACTATTCAACATTCATATAGTAAGACATATTAGTACTTTTTAATCAATAAAAATTAGTCGGATTTATTAATTAAACGTCATGTGTTATCAACGTTCAGAAAAATTTTTTTTATTATAACACAATTTAATTTTTCTTCAACATAAAATTTGTAACTTTTTATAAATTTAATTATCTTGTTTTATCATAGAAATGGAGGTAACAAACTATTTTAAATTTGTACTTTGGTAGTTAAATAATGAAACAAGTAAATAAACAAACAGTTTTTAATGTTGTTATTTAAAAAAATGTGTTGCCTACAGATTACAGTACTTCTAACTGCAGAATACACTTCCGATCTTCTCATCAATGTTTTGACCACCGCATTATTATCTTGTAGTTGTTCGGTTAATTTTCTTTCGTTCTGGATTAATATCCGAACTGTAAGTTGAAATTTTCTATGGTATATTTAATTAAATGTTATTCGTGATTTTTTCTATGTAAACATTTTTTAGAATTCTATAAGAAGTAACGTTATACAACAATATAATTATTACTATAATAATAATTACTATAACAGGTAATATGTTTAATGGAAAGATTACAGGAAATTTGTAATGAGTTGAAGGACGAGAATGAAATTGCAATTATAAAAAGATATGGTTATCGAGCGAGACAAATTACTATTATTCTTACACGTAAGATAACGCATACTTACTGATATATTACTATATGTAATGGATTATAATCGCTATAAAAAGTCGAGTAACCATTTCACTATCTTGCACGTATGTGTGCAAACTTTGAAGTTATATTAAAAAGTATCTAATTAATATCTTAATAAGGAGTTACGGGTGTAAATGTATTTTAACCATGACGTATGATATTTAAGTTAGTATTAAAAATAACAGAAATTGAAATATTTCGTTGATCAGCTTTCTGTCAGACTACCCACATAATAGAGAAGTTATATTTTGAGTAAATTAGTTTTACTTTTATTAGTTTTACTTTTATTAGTTTTATTTTTAGTAATTTAGTTTTACAATAATTCTTTATTATTGATTATTAAAAAACACCAATTTATATAATTACATTTTTTTAAATGTCCTTAGTGTTATTCGCGTTTCCTGCAATCGTTCTTATTGCTCAACCAATTTGGCCACGCGTTCTTGGCATTTTTTTCTACCTGAACGAATCTTTGTTCCGCCGCAAAACGTTAATCTTGACTGAGTACTTTGTCGATCAAGAAAAATATTCTTACTTAATCATGTTGCATACGGACATAGCAGTTATCATAGGAACGTTTGCAATGATAGCAACAGGAACGCTGCTTCTGGTGTCTCTCAAACATGCCTGTGGAATGTTTAGTATCGCCAGGTGATGAA